GTCATGTGTAGAACCTATTAATCCATGTTTGGTAAGTATGGGTCCATCTAGTTCATCTTATACACTACAAGTGAGTTTCCACAATGTGGAGTCACAGAGGTACATTTCGGACTCCTTACCTCTTCCGGTTCCCAACTCCTTACCTCTTCCGGTTCCCAAATTTGGTCCATTTGATGTTCCTCCCTTGGATTGAGACCGTTTCAGTTTGTCCTCATAGTCATGTGGAGAACCTATTAATCCATGTTTGGGTAAGTATGGGTCCATCTAGTTCATCTTATACACTACAAGTGAGTTTCCACAATGTGGAGTCACAGAGGTACATTTCGGACTCCTTACCTCTTCCGGTTCCCAAATTTGGTCCATTTGATGTTCCTCCCTTGGATTGAGACCGTTTCACTCATGTTTGTCCTCATAGTCATGTGTAGAACCTATTAATCCATGTTTGGGTAAGTATGGGTCCATCTAGTTCATCTTATACACTACAAGTGAGTTTCCACAATGTGGAGTCACAGAGGTACATTTCGGACTCCTTACCTCTTCCGGTTCCCAAATTTGGTCCATTTGATGTTCCTCCCTTGGATTGAGACCGTTTCACTCATGTTTGTCCTCATAGTCATGTGGAGAACCTATTAATCCATGTTTGGGTAAGTATGGGTCCATCTAGTTCATCTTATACACTACAAGTGAGTTTCCACAATGTGGAGTCACAGAGGTACATTTCGGACTCCTTACCTCTTCCGGTTCCCAAATTTGGTCCATTTGATGTTCCTCCCTTGGATTGAGACCGTTTCACTCATGTTTGTCCTCATAGTAATGTGGAGAACCTATTAATCCATGTTTGGGTAAGTATGGGTCCATCTAGTTCATCTTATACACTACAAGTGAGTTTCCACAATGTGGAGTCACAGAGGTACATTTCGGACTCCTTACCTCTTCCGGTTCCCAAATTGGTCCATTTGATGTTCCTCCCTTGGATTGAGACCGTTTCACTCATGTTTGTCCTCATAGTCATGTGTAGAACCTATTAATCCATGTTTGGGTAAGTATGGGTCCATCTAGTTCATCTTATACACTACAAGTGAGTTTCCACAATGTGGAGTCACAGAGGTACATTTCGGACTCCTTACCTCTTCCGGTTCCCAAATTTGGTCCATTTGATGTTCCTCCCTTGGATTGAGACCGTTTCACTCATGTTTGTCCTCATAGTCATGTGTAGAACCTATTAATCCATGTTTGGGTAAGTATGGGTCCATCTAGTTCATCTTATACACTACAAGTGAGTTTCCACAATGTGGAGTCACAGAGGTACATTTCGGACTCCTTACCTCTTCCGGTTCCCAAATTAGGTCCATTTGATGTTCCTCCCTTGGATTGAGACCGTTTCACTCATGTTTGTCCTCATAGTCATGTGTAGAACCTATTAATCCATGTTTGGGTAAGTATGGGTCCATCTAGTTCATCTTATACACTACAAGTGAGTTTCCACAATGTGGAGTCACAGAGGTACATTTCGGACTCCTTACCTCTTCCGGTTCCCAAATTTGGTCCATTTGATGTTCCTCCCTTGGATTGAGACCGTTTCACTCATGTTTGTCCTCATAGTCATGTGTAGAACCTATTAATCCATGTTTGGGTAAGTATGGGTCCATCTAGTTCATCTTATACACTACAAGTGAGTTTCCACAATGTGGAGTCACAGAGGTACATTTCGGACTCCTTACCTCTTCCGGTTCCCAAATTAGGTCCATTTGATGTTCCTCCCTTGGATTGAGACCGTTTCACTCATGTTTGTCCTCATAGTATGTGGAGAACCTATTAATCCATGTTTGGGTAAGTATGGGTCCATCTAGTTCATCTTATACACTACAAGTGAGTTTCCACAATGTGGAGTCACAGAGGTACATTTCGGACTCCTTACCTCTTCCGGTTCCCAAATTTGGTCCATTTGATGTTCCTCCCTTGGATTGAGACCGTTTCACTCATGTTTGTCCTCATAGTCATGTGTAGAACCTATTAATCCATGTTTGGGTAAGTATGGGTCCATCTAGTTCATCTTATACACTACAAGTGAGTTTCCACAATGTGGAGTCACAGAGGTACATTTCGGACTCCTTACCTCTTCCGGTTCCCAAATTTGGTCCATTTGATGTTCCTCCCTTGGATTGAGACCGTTTCACTCATGTTTGTCCTCATAGTCATGTGTAGAACCTATTAATCCATGTTTGGGTAAGTATGGGTCCATCTAGTTCATCTTATACACTACAAGTGAGTTTCCACAATGTGGAGTCACAGAGGTACATTTCGGACTCCTTACCTCTTCCGGTTCCCAAATTTGGTCCATTTGATGTTCCTCCCTTGGATTGAGACCGTTTCACTCATGTTTGTCCTCATAGTCATGTGGAGAACCTATTAATCCATGTTTGGGTAAGTATGGGTCCATCTAGTTCATCTTATACACTACAAGTGAGTTTCCACAATGTGGAGTCACAGAGGTACATTTCGGACTCCTTACCTCTTCCGGTTCCCAAATTTGGTCCATTTGATGTTCCTCCCTTGGATTGAGACCGTTTCACTCATGTTTGTCCTCATAGTCATGTGGAGAACCTATTAATCCATGTTTGGGTAAGTATGGGTCCATCTAGTTCATCTTATACACTACAAGTGAGTTTCCACAATGTGGAGTCACAGAGGTACATTTCGGACTCCTTACCTCTTCCGGTTCCCAAATTAGGTCCATTTGATGTTCCTCCCTTGGATTGAGACCGTTTCACTCATGTTTGTCCTCATAGTCATGTGTAGAACCTATTAATCCATGTTTGGGTAAGTATGGGTCCATCTAGTTCATCTTATACACTACAAGTGAGTTTCCACAATGTGGAGTCACAGAGGTACATTTCGGACTCCTTACCTCTTCCGGTTCCCAAATTTGGTCCATTTGATGTTCCTCCCTTGGATTGAGACCGTTTCACTCATGTTTGTCCTCATAGTCATGTGTAGAACCTATTAATCCATGTTTGGGTAAGTATGGGTCCATCTAGTTCATCTTATACACTACAAGTGAGTTTCCACAATGTGGAGTCACAGAGGTACATTTCGGACTCCTTACCTCTTCCGGTTCCCAAATTAGGTCCATTTGATGTTCCTCCCTTGGATTGAGACCGTTTCACTCATGTTTGTCCTCATAGTCATGTGGAGAACCTATTAATCCATGTTTGGGTAAGTATGGGTCCATCTAGTTCATCTTATACACTACAAGTGAGTTTCCACAATGTGGAGTCACAGAGGTACATTTCGGACTCCTTACCTCTTCCGGTTCCCAAATTAGGTCCATTTGATGTTCCTCCCTTGGATTGAGACCGTTTCACTCATGTTTGTCCTCATAGTCATGTGGAGAACCTATTAATCCATGTTTGGGTAAGTATGGGTCCATCTAGTTCATCTTATACACTACAAGTGAGTTTCCACAATGTGGAGTCACAGAGGTACATTTCGGACTCCTTACCTCTTCCGGTTCCCAAATTAGGTCCATTTGATGTTCCTCCCTTGGATTGAGACCGTTTCACTCATGTTTGTCCTCATAGTCATGTGGAGAACCTATTAATCCATGTTTGGGTAAGTATGGGTCCATCTAGTTCATCTTATACACTACAAGTGAGTTTCCACAATGTGGAGTCACAGAGGTACATTTCGGACTCCTTACCTCTTCCGGTTCCCAAATTAGGTCCATTTGATGTTCCTCCCTTGGATTGAGACCGTTTCACTCATGTTTGTCCTCATAGTCATGTGTAGAACCTATTAATCCATGTTTGGGTAAGTATGGGTCCATCTAGTTCATCTTATACACTACAAGTGAGTTTCCACAATGTGGAGTCACAGAGGTACATTTCGGACTCCTTACCTCTTCCGGTTCCCAAATTGGTCCATTTGATGTTCCTCCCTTGGATTGAGACCGTTTCACTCATGTTTGTCCTCATAGTCATGTGTAGAACCTATTAATCCATGTTTGGGTAAGTATGGGTCCATCTAGTTCATCTTATACACTACAAGTGAGTTTCCACAATGTGGAGTCACAGAGGTACATTTCGGACTCCTTACCTCTTCCGGTTCCCAAATTTGGTCCATTTGATGTTCCTCCCTTGGATTGAGACCGTTTCACTCATGTTTGTCCTCATAGTCATGTGTAGAACCTATTAATCCATGTTTGGGTAAGTATGGGTCCATCTAGTTCATCTTATACACTACAAGTGAGTTTCCACAATGTGGAGTCACAGAGGTACATTTCGGACTCCTTACCTCTTCCGGTTCCCAAATTAGGTCCATTTGATGTTCCTCCCTTGGATTGAGACCGTTTCACTCATGTTTGTCCTCATAGTCATGTGTAGAACCTATTAATCCATGTTTGGGTAAGTATGGGTCCATCTAGTTCATCTTATACACTACAAGTGAGTTTCCACAATGTGGAGTCACAGAGGTACATTTCGGACTCCTTACCTCTTCCGGTTCCCAAATTAGGTCCATTTGATGTTCCTCCCTTGGATTGAGACCGTTTCACTCATGTTTGTCCTCATAGTCATGTGTAGAACCTATTAATCCATGTTTGGGTAAGTATGGGTCCATCTAGTTCATCTTATACACTACAAGTGAGTTTCCACAATGTGGAGTCACAGAGGTACATTTCGGACTCCTTACCTCTTCCGGTTCCCAAATTAGGTCCATTTGATGTTCCTCCCTTGGATTGAGACCGTTTCACTCATGTTTGTCCTCATAGTCATGTGGAGAACCTATTAATCCATGTTTGGGTAAGTATGGGTCCATCTAGTTCATCTTATACACTACAAGTGAGTTTCCACAATGTGGAGTCACAGAGGTACATTTCGGACTCCTTACCTCTTCCGGTTCCCAAATTAGGTCCATTTGATGTTCCTCCCTTGGATTGAGACCGTTTCACTCATGTTTGTCCTCATAGTCATGTGGAGAACCTATTAATCCATGTTTGGGTAAGTATGGGTCCATCTAGTTCATCTTATACACTACAAGTGAGTTTCCACAATGTGGAGTCACAGAGGTACATTTCGGACTCCTTACCTCTTCCGGTTCCCAAATTAGGTCCATTTGATGTTCCTCCCTTGGATTGAGACCGTTTCACTCATGTTTGTCCTCATAGTCATGTGGAGAACCTATTAATCCATGTTTGGGTAAGTATGGGTCCATCTAGTTCATCTTATACACTACAAGTGAGTTTCCACAATGTGGAGTCACAGAGGTACATTTCGGACTCCTTACCTCTTCCGGTTCCCAAATTAGGTCCATTTGATGTTCCTCCCTTGGATTGAGACCGTTTCACTCATGTTTGTCCTCATAGTCATGTGTAGAACCTATTAATCCA